AAGGATTGCCGGAGCCCAGCAGGTCGAGGCTGTGGTGGCCGGGAGCGGCCACTGCACTCCAGTCTGGGCGACAGCGTGAGACTCCAACTCAAAAAAAAACAAAACAAAACAGTGCTGACAAAAGAAAAATTTACCTTCAGAATTTATTTCATACGCCTGTACTTTTCTAGGTTAAGTATTCTCAGATCATTATTAAGTAATTAGAACTAAAAATTAAACACACTTTAACCACGATTTCTTTATTTAACAAGGGAGTACTATTAAGATGGGATTTTCTGATTCAACTAGTGAAATCACAGCATCTATGAAGTCATTCACCATAGTCATGGTCAGCTGTAATTTAGTGTGTCAGCCAGGCACAGTGGTTCACGCCTATAATCCTAGCATTTTGGGAGACAAAGAGAAGATTGCCTGAATTCAGGGGTTTGAGATCAGCCTGAGCAACATGGTTAAGACTCTGTGTCTCTACAATAAATCAAAAAATTAGTCAGGCATGGTGATGCATGTCTGTGGTTCTAACTACTTGGAAGGCTGAGGTGGAAGGATCACTTGCCCAGCAGGTAGAAGCTGCAGTGGCCATGAGCATGACACTGCACTTCAGCCTGGGTGACAAAGTGAGATTCCAACTCAAAAAAAACAAAACAAAACAAACACTTAGTGTGTCAAATGTAGAATTAATGTTGTATATCTGAAATGATAAATTTTGCATTCATTTACCTTGCAGGAAAGGTCTGTAGCTGGTTGTTTGCAAGGTGTAAGATGCGCAGGTGTGGGTGTCCCACCAGAACAGGTATACACTGATCTGTCAGGAGATTGTTGGTCAGATAAAGCAGCTGCAGCATACTCAGACTCTCCTCCCCAGTGCAGGCAGATGGTAAAGACTCCAGACTATTTGCAGATGCATTCAAGTATCTGAGACTGACAGAACACATACAAATCATCATTTCCTTTATTTGTTGCTTTCTTACATAAAAACCATCATGCTATATCAGTATGGAATGCTGCCATTCCAAGCTTCCAAATTGAGAAGAAAAAAAAAAAGGTAATTTTGTCCAAATAATTTCCTCTATTTGATTCTATTCTATCCAAAGTTCCTTTTACTCAACTCAAGCAAGGCAAGTACAGACGAAAGTATACAGACTTGGTTGTTTTCCCAGTCTTCTGTAGTGGCCTGATTCTAACCTAGTTTCATCTTTTACTGTCTATGCATCTACTGAAAAGGATGTTGACTCTCATGTTCACATATATCTGAACTATGGAGACAAATTTTTGAATTCATACGAATCCCCTAATAATGAATATACAGACTATTTCCATATATATGGTACTACAGACATGGCAATGAGCATCTTTGTGTCAATATCTATTATTTCTTTAGGTTACATTCCTAGAAACAGAATTTGTGGGACCAAAGGATATACATATATAAAGATTTTTTAATATATTGCCAAACTAAGATCCAGAAAGACTGTATCAGATTATACTTCCACAAGAAGATAAGAATGTCAGTTTGCTCTCAATTTTGTCACCACTGAGTATTATGATTCACTTTAATCTTTGCCAAACTATAGGTAAAACATCGTATTATTTAAAAATCTGTCTAGTATTATGTCTGGTATATACAGAACATTCTCAATAAAAGGCTGTTAATATTATTAAACTTGTGTGGTCTTAAATCTTCTTCATGTTGGGTTATCCATATCCCCAATTATTTTTTTAAGAAATTGATACAGGCTGGGCTTGGTGACTCAGCCTGTAATCCCAGCACTGTGGGAGGCCGAGGTGAGTGGACTGCCTGAGTCCGCAGGTTCAAGATCAGCCCAGCGAACTTGGAGAGACCGTGCCTCTATAATAAATAAAAAATTAGCCAGGTGAGATAGCACGTGCCTGTAGTTCTGGCTACTTGGAAGGCTGAGGTCGAGGCTGCAGTGGCCAGAAGCGTGCCAATGCACTCAAGCCTGGGCGATGGATAAATAAAAAATATAATACAAGAAACTGATTCATAATAGTTGTACATACCTAATTAGCTTTTGAGCTTATTGAGAGGTACTGTATGTCTGTTTGAATCCTTGTCCCAAAAATAAATGCTCTGTGCAGAATTAGTATTAAATATTACTAACATTTTGCTACAGCTAAGTAACTTCCTTACTACAGATCCTAAAGTTGTAAACCAATTTTATTTAGACTGTCATCAGGACTAAATGCAGTGTCATACACTGCTAACAAATACACTGCTAACAAATACTTGGTAATAACTGCATCAAGACTTTTTATAAACTTTACAAAAAGAAAATTTCTTTCAAATATTTTTTAGAATTTCCAAGATTTTATTATGAGTAATATCCAACCAAATATATAATACATTAAAAGATATAAGCAGGGCACAGTGGCTCCCAGCACTTGGGAAGGTGGAGGCGAGAAAACTGTCTGAGCCCATGGATTCGAGACCAGCCTAGGCAATATGGCGAGACTTTGTCTACAATAAATCAAAAAATTACACACATCTGTAGTTCCAGCTACTTGGAAGGCTGAAGAGGAAGGACTGCCTAAGCCCATCAGGTTGAGGTTGCAGTGACTATGAGCCTGACACTGCACTCCACCTGGGCTACAGAGTGAGACTCTGACTCAAAAACAAAAGATGTATAAGCTGCTAAAGGGAAAAAAAGCCAGACACCCACAGACTACATAATTTTTGTATGTCTCCTGTTAATTTACTACTGCTTATCTCTGTTTTCTCCATTTCTAAACCAAAGACAATACCACCTTCTTCATATTATAGAACACTATAATTAAAAACTAATATTCATTTAAAGTGACATACACATTAGCTAAACCTGATAATGGGTCTCAAAATGGGAAGACAGGTCATCTGTTTGCTAATTTACAGTGAGAAGGCAGTGAATGGTTATTACCTTTAAATACACAGTTTTTAAAGTCAGTAGTAAACTTTGCAAATAAAGACTGTAACTCAAAGATAGTTTGGTAAAGCTAGAAGCAAAAACCAAATAAACTTTTGTGTTATGTTCTTTTCTCTCCAATGCAAAAGCTGAAAATCGCCCAAGGAATATATATATATATATTATATCAGAATGTTATAATGATAAAATATATATATTATATATATATGATAATGATATAATATATATATCAGAATATTATAATTTAATCTTTAAATGTCATAACTACATTCATTTTCTTACATGAAAGCCTGAATCCTCCCCAAACTATTTAAAATTGTTTACAACATAATAACTTAAGTATTCCATGGCTACTTCAACTTTGAGTTAAAGATTCATGAAACTGTCATAGCTTCCTTCATAAAAATTGCAATTAAGTCTCCACCCATAGCAGGACTATCAGGTAAAACTCTCTATAAATATAGTTCCAAAGGTCACTCTAATGACAAGTCACTAGTTTGTTTAGCCAATGATTCTGCTCTTCGGAGAAAAAAAAAAAATCCTAACCCTTGTTACTTACTTTAAGGCCTTGGAGAAGAGGGTGTCTGGCAGCCTGGTAAGTATGTTATGCTGAATATCCAATACCTCGAGAGGGATGTGTTCCACCAGCATTGGAAGGTTTTGCACATGATTGTGTCCCACCATCAGTTTTCTCAGACTCAAGCTACTCAGAATTCTAAGGGGAAACAAGTACAAAGAAACAAATAAAAACTTACTAGAATCTTTCTTTCTGAGGTTGTGCTTGGCTTTTTCACTGAAATCAGTAAATGAAAAGAACACAGTCTTCTAGACTGCATAATCACCAACAAGTGCCTGGGTCAAGAAAGGATCCACAACCATATGTTTACCTACCACCCACCAGGAAGTCATTAGGGTCATTCTGAGAAAAAAGGAATTAATGAAAGCAAACAGCACAGAGGAGGTTTTAACTAACAAAGCAATTTCTAGAGTAAATCAATTAGATTTTAAGTCTAAACGGCAACAAAAATTCAGTGGATATATTAATATTTACAACAAATTTCATTACAATAAAAACTACTATTTACTGAGTGCTTAAAAGGTGCTAAGTCATTTAACAATGAAGCTCACAAAGGTTACATGACTTTGATTTGTCAAAGATGTCACACTGAATAGTAAATGATATAGTCTGGATTTGAACTACGGTCTGACTCCAAAGGTTGTGGTCAAACTTATTATGCTACAAGGCTTCTAGTTTAATTTTAAAGACTCCATTAGGTAATAACCACACATTTTATACCTCAGTGCTTTTGAATATATTACCTCCCACCCCTCCCCAAGCACCACTCTTTCCTCTCCACTTAGAGAAATCACACCATCTGGTAAAGGTCAATTAAATGCTATCTTCTCCATGAAGCACTCTCTAATTATTCAAAGTTCTTCTGAATTTCTAAAATATTTAATTTATACAGTCTAGTGATTAAGAGTGAAGGCTCTGGAGTAAAAATGACGACATTCAAATGCCAGCTCCCATCACCTCCTAGTTAAGCGCAAACTCAGACAAATTACCTAAATGTCCTGAATCTTAGTTTCTTCATTTCTAAGACAAGGATGACAGTACCTAAGGTTTTTAAAGAATTGAGATAAAGAAAGTGAAGTTCTTAGGACACTGCTCACTCATAATAACTCATTCTATAAAATTAACTATTACAATCACATCTCAATCTAAGCCAGCAACTCCTGGTATATTTTATCACAGGTATCTGGGCATATGCCACGCTATTCTCTCATTAAGTAGCTTGTAGGCCAACACCATGCACTAGTCCTTACTAAAGTCCTTATGGCACCTCATGCTGCCTTGCACTCAGCAGGTACTCAATATCCAACCCAAATCTAGAAAAATAATGAAACACACACCCATGTATATATTCATACATACATGCACAATATATACTTTCATACACACATACCTCATAGGAACCTCTGTGAGAAGATTATAGCTCACATCTAATATTTCTATCTTCTTTGCTTCACAGGCCCAGTCAGGAATACATTCTAGAAGGTTTCTACAGAAAATAAATAATTGAAAGGCATCATTTAAGATGACAAATGAAACTCACTTGACTGTAATGTATCCATTAACCAGTCTATGAGCCCCTTGAGAGAAGGAACACTATCTCCAAGGCATACTGTGGGACACTGCCTAGAATACAGTAGGTGCTCAGTATGGTTCATCTTCAAAGAAGGTTAAAAGTCTTTCTGCACATGTGGTAGAATGGGAAGGGAGAAAGAGATGAAGAAAGACTTCATAGAAGAGACAACTTAAAACAAAGCTTCAAGGAGGAGGAGTTCTACAGGTAATGACTGAGAAGAGAAGGAAAATGTTAGAACAAATAAAAGGAAGTAGGGACAAAAGACAACTAGTGCAGAAAAAGTTTCAAGCCATTTAGAACATGATTCAAATATTCATTGGGCCTGATTCAAATATTCAGTAGCCAGAGGTGTTGTGAGGAATTTTATTTTCATATGTGATTTAGCTTCTCTGGGTCTCAAGATAGCTATCGATTAATCAATTGATATAATGAGGCAGAATGAAGTAGTGCTACAGAAATGAAACACAGATACTGCTATGACAGCTTAGTGAAGGAAACACTTTGCCTGAAATGGAACAAGGCAAGCTTCCTCAGAGGACATCTGAAGAATGTTGTACAATGACCTGACATGAGGAGCATATTTCAAACATGGTCGGCAACATGAGGTAGAGACCAGAGATGAGAAAAGAAATGACATGATCCTTGTGGGGAATAACAAGAAGTGAGGCAATGCAAAAGCAGCTGGGAGGAGAGGGCCTGGGCTGGAGATCTGGGTGGTACTGGATGGTGCTGAGAAAAAGGAAGACACTGACACACACGAGATGGTAGAAGAGGAAGAGGAGGAGGACAAGGACGACTAACAAGGTCCAGGACTGTGGAAGTACAGGGGGCTACAGGCCAAGACAGCTGGACTGGCCTTGAACAGAGGGGAGAGGCTGAGATTAGGTATGTGCCTACATACATTCAACCAAGGTGACAGGAAGAAATCACTCACAATAGCCTCTATTTTCTCAATCAAGCAGGAAGCTAAGCTCCAGCATGGAGAAGAAGTAGAGCAATGTGGAACAGATGCTGAGGATAATGGAAGGAGCTGGTAAGAGAAAAACCAATAAGCTCCAGATGAGGGTTGGAAATTGTAAATTTATAGTGGCGTCCATTTGGATGTGATTTTCTTCAGCAATGGCCAAGCTCAGTGGAAAAGGTAAAATCTTTTATGTTGGGGTTTTTCAGGAAAGATAGGAAAGAAAGAAATGGATGGCAGGGATTCTAAAACAATAGCTTAATAATAAAGTAACAATAACAAAAAGAAACCTGGCTACAATATTTTTTTTTTTGAGTTGGAGTCTCACTTTGTCACCCAGACTGGAGTGCAGTGGCCACTCCCAGCACCTGCAGCCTCGACCTGCTGGGCTCCGGCGATCCTTCCGCCTCAGTATTCCAAGTAGCTGGAACTACAAGCGCACACTACCACACCCAGCTAATTTTTTTTCTATTTATTGTAGAGATGAGGTCTTGCCAAGTTGCCCAGGCGGGTCTCGAACCCATGGGCTCAGGCAATCCACTCACCTCAGCCTCCCAAAGCACAGGATTACAGGCTGAGCCACTGAGCTCGGTTTCTTTTTTTTTTTTTTTGAGTTGGCGTCTCACTTCACTGCCCAGGTTGGAGTGCAGTGGCACGCTCATGGCCACCCCAGTGTCGACCTGCTGGGCTCAGGTGATCCTTCCACCTCAGTCTTCCAAGTAGCTGGAACTATAGGTGTGTGCTACCGTGCCCGGCTAACTTTTGATTTATTGTAGAGACATGGTCTCGCCAAGTTGCCTGGACTGGTCTCGAACCCGCAGGCTCAGGCAATCCACTTGCCTTGGCCTCCCAAAATGCTGGGATTACAGGCTGAGCCACCGAGCCCGGTCAAGCTAATATTTCTTAAGAGATTACTGTATGCCAGGCACTATGCTATGTATTTGGCATTTATTATCTCACTTAATCGTCACAACAAGCCTGACCATATAGGACCTTGCACACTGCTTGCTCCTTCAATCTGACTTAAGCATTCTATATGCACAGCACTTATCATGTTGCCTGGTAACTGAACGATTGTTTATCTTTTCCACTATACTATAAAACCCAACCAATGAATCCAGAATGCCTAGCAGCGTGGTTTAAAATGAATGAATAAAGAAAAGCAAACCTCATTTATGTTTGTTCTTGGCCATCAACAGAAGCATTAAAGTCCTGAATATAATTACTATCACTACAAAAGTAAGACAAACATGAGTCATAAGAGTATTTTTTTAATTGAATAATTTTTTTAAAGCCCACTACCTGCCGGGCTTGGTGGCTCAGCCTGTAATCCTGCACCTTTGGAAGGCTGAGGTGAGAGGATTGCCTGAGCCCGCGGGTTCGAGATCCGCCTGGGCAGCGAGACCTCATCTCTACAATAAATCAAAAAATCAGCTGGGCGTGGTAGCACATGCCTGAAATTTCAGCTACTCGAAAGGCTGAGGCGGAAGGATAGCCAGAGCCCAGCAGGTTGAGGGTGCGGTGGCCGGGAGTGTCCACTGCACTCCAGTCTGGGCGACACAGTGAGACTCCAACTCAAAAAAAAAAAAAACCCACTACCTAAAAAATCAAGAATTATCTGATTCCAACTGACAAAACCAATGCTATAAAGATAACAGGTCTTCTTTGCATCTTATCCTAAATCCACAAGTCTTTAAGGATATAATTCACAGCATTTTTCTATCTCAAAAGGTTCTTTCCTGTAACTACAAAGTATGGCTATTAAACTTACTCTTCCACTCATCCTTTCTCTAAGTGAGCCCAAAATTTCAATATATTTCAATTTCTTATACCTCAAAACTGCCAAAGTAGCCACACACATCTCTGAAACAGTAAGAATCAAACAAGCACTACCCTCATGACAGACACTCACCGGGAGAGTTCTAGGGAAGTGAGTAGACTGGGTACCGGATAGACATTCACTGCTGTCAGCTCTAATAAAAAACAAATAGACGTTAGTGATATCCTCTAAAGAAGAAAGTGACAGTTGACAAGAGAAAAGTCGTTTAGTGAAATCACAACAGAGAAAACTGATGTCCTCCACTAAGATGAACTAAAAATAAAAACTATTGAGTAACTCACTTTGACTAACTGCTTGATCCCAATTTGTTTTGAAAAACACATACAGCCAGGCGCAGTAATCCCAGTACTTTGGAAGGCGAAGGATTGCCTGAGCCCAGTTCAAGACCAGCCTGAGCAACTTGGCGAGACCTCGTCTTTACAATAAATAAAGAAATTAGCCGGACGTAGTGGCTTGTACCTGTGGTTCCAGCTACTTGGAAGGTTGAGATGGAAGGATTGTCTGAGCCCAGCAGGTTAAAGCTGTGGTGGCTGTGAGCGTACCACTACTGCATTCTAGCCTGGGTGACAGAGTGAGACTCTGACTCAAAAATAAATAGAATAAAATGTTAAAAGTATAACATAAATAAAGAAAAGTGTAATAATTCAGTGAATTTTTACAAACTGAATATCTAGTGGAACCAACACCCAGATCAAGAAACAGAACATTACCAGCTCCCTGGAAGCTTCACCTTGTCTTCCCTTCCAGTAACTACCCTGCAAGGGCAACACCATTCTGACTACAAATACGACAGATTACTTTTGTCTATTTATATAAATATACACATATAGTATGTATAGTTTTTTCTCTGGCTTCATTCACTCCACAATATGCTTGTAGGATTTGTTCACATTGTTGCATATGGCTATAGTTCATTCATTCTCATCCCTGTATTAAATTATTTTATGTGAATATGTTATAATTTATTTGCCCATTTTGGAATTGATGGGAATTTAAGCCTTTTCTAGTTTGGGGTTACTATGAACATATTTATCCATGTCTTTTGTGGATTCTAATATAAGCACTTAGTCGAGTATATGCCTAGGAGGGTACTGGTGGGTACAGGATATGTTTATGTTCACTCTTAGGTAGATACTACTGAACACTTTTCCAAAGTGGTTGTACCAATTTATAATAGCTGCCACTGTTATTTTCTGTCTTTTCCATTCTAGTCATTCTGGTAGGTATGTGGTAGTGCCACATAAGGGTTTCAATTTGCATATTCCTAATGACTAGCAAAATTGAGTGTCTCTCCCTATGTTAAATGATCACTTCTTTTATGAAACTAAGTTATTTACTTTGAGGCATCAAAACTGCAACTCCTGTTGGCCAGGAGCAGTGTCTCACACCTGTAATCCCAGAGCTGTGGGAAGCAGAGGAGAGAGGACTGCCTGAGCCTAGGAGCTCGAGAGCAAACTGGGCAAATTGACAAGATCTCACCTCTACAATAAATAAAATAATCAACCAGGCATGGTGGCACACACCTGTGGTTCCAGCTTTTTGGAAGGCTGAGGTGAAAGGATAGCCTGAGTCTGGCAGATCAAAGCTACCGAGCAATAGGCAATGCTACTGCACTCTAGCCTGGGCGACAAAATAAGATGCTCACTCAAAAAAAAAACAAATGTTTATGTGAATTCTTCCAGGTTGCAGAATCTAAGGATTCTATAAACAGAGTACATACCCTCAAACAAGCCCTATTCAATACACTGGTGTGATAGAAGTTCAGTGACTAAGAAGCACTACATGTGTACTGATGAGGTCTTTTCCAGCACGGCCAAGCATGCAGACTCTGTAGATACATTAAGAATAATCGAGATGGGCCTGATAGCAATCATCTCCATTGGAAGGACTTAATATTATGTCACAGCATCCATAAATGGCACAAGTCAACATTCATCAGTTTGGACACTCTTCTGACCAAGCAATTAATCTAAGACAACAATCTGAAGCTTCTATAACATAACAGGCAACACAAACAGAAATCCTTAATATTCTTATTTTATTTTATTTTTTTTGAGTTGGAGTCTTACTCTGTCATCCAGACTGGAGTGTAGGGTTATCATCATAGCTACTGTAGCCTCGACCTGCTGGGCTCAGTCTATCCTTCCACCTCAGCCTTCCAAGTAGCTGGAACTACAGATGCATGCCATCATACCCAGCTAGTTTTTGTGATTTATTTTAGAGACCAGATCTTGCCAAGTTGCCCAGGTTGGTCTCGAAACCCTGGGCTCAGGCAATCCTCTTGCCTTGGCCTCCCAAAGTGCTGGGATTGCAGGCTGAGCCACCGTGCCTTGCCTACCTGGCTAATTTTTAAAAATTTTTTGGAGACGGGGTCTTGCTATATTGCCCAGGCTGGTCTCAAATGCCTAGCTTCAAGTGATCATCCTACCTCAGCCTCCCAAAGTGCTGGTGATTACAGGTGTGAGTCACTGAACTCAGCTGCTTAAAAAAAAAAATTTAAATATTACACATACAAAGAGGTAAACATCACCCCATATATGGTTTTCATCATTTCTCATGGATTCTTTCATTCTGTTATGGCATACTTAATGCTAAGAAAACAATATTCCTGTGTTTTCAATTCTGATTAACTATCATAGTATACACGTACTTTACTTTCTTTCCTTGCTCAAAAATATTAATACACAAAACTTATATATATTCATTTCCACTGCTGTGCAATATTTAATTATATAAATATCACTACTGATTTACCCATTTCCTAGTAATAGTCCATTTTTTCACTATCACAATGCTGTGATAAACATTCTTTTACATATCACTTCGTGCATATGTGTCTTTGGGATAGATTCCAAGCAGGGGAACTGCTAGAAGATGGTATATGTGTGCCTTCGACTGCCGTAACACTGTCACATTACTCTTCCAAGTGGTTTTACTAGTCAATTCTCACTGGCAGTGTTTAAGAGCTCTGGGAGATGCTTCTCCTCCTATCTGGTTACACTCAGCATTATCTTTTTCATTTTGTTTTTTTTTTTGAGTTGGAGTCTCTGTCGCCCAGGCTGGAGTGCAGTGGCACACTCACAGTCACCACAGCCTTGACCTGCTGGGCTCAGTGAAGCTTTCACCTCAGCCTTTCAAAGCAGCTGGAACTATAGGTATGCGCCACCACGCCCAGTTAATTTTCTGATTTACTGTAGAGGTGAGGTCTTGCCAAGTTGCCCAGGTTGGTATCAAACTCATGGGCTCAGGCAACCCTCTCACCTCGGTTTCCCAAAGTGCTGGGATTATAGGCGTGAGCCACCATGCCCAGTCAGCATAACCTTTTCTAAAAAATGTGATACTCTCAAGTCACCTCTCACTCAGGACACGGAAGGTGGAGTAACCCGCTGAGTCACACAGCTGCTCTGTCCTGCAGTCCTTTCCCTCAAGCTGTGACATGGAGAGAGTGACCTCAGCCCTTTTCCTACTGGTAGGCCTGCCCACCTGCCAATGACCCATTTGCTGATACAGACAGTCCCTTCTACTATGACTGGAAAGGCCTGCAGCTGAGTGGTATTATTGTTGGAGGGCTCCTGTGCATTGCTGGGATCGCTGTGGCCCTGAGTGGGAAAAATAAAATGCAAGGGCAATCAGAAGCACAGCCCCTTACCTGAGAAAGCCACCCCACTTATCACTCAAGGCTCTGCCAGTACCTACTGAGCACAGAACCAACCTCTAGAGATGCCCCAAAGCCTGACACTGGCCTTCCACCCCACTCCTCCCTCCCCTGGAGACCTTACCCTCCAGGATGAACTTTTTCTCTAAGAGCAGCTGTTAGGTCCTTTTCTGATCAGGAAACTGTCCAAAGCTTACTTATAAATTAAATTGGTCTCACCTTTCCCTCCCATGAAAAAAAAATTTGATGAGTAAGAAATGTTACTATTTAGATTTGCATTTTTCTGACAGTGAAATTGAGCATCTTTTTATTTCCTTCTTTAAACAGAGAAAAAGGTAAGTACAACTTTTGTGGTAAAAATAACTCTCCATAAAAAGAATGGTCTCAACAAATTTGAGGCCCTCCACGATGAAAAATATTCCTAAATTGGGTGCAGTGGCTCAAGCCTGTAATCCCAGTACTTTGCCTGTAATCCCAGTACTTTGGGAGGCCGAGGCAAGAGGATTGCCTGAGCCCAGGAGTTCGAGACCAGCCTGGGCAACTTGATAAGACCTCATCTCTACAATAAATCAATAATTAGCCAGGCACGGTGGTGCACACCTGTAGTTCCAGCTACTTGGAAGACTGAGGCAGAAGGATTACCTGAGTCCAGCAGGTCAGGGCTGCAGTGGCCGTGAGCAAGCTACTGCACTCCAGCCTGGGTAACAGAGTGAGACTCCAGCACACAAAAAAGGAAAAACCATTCCTTACGGGCCATTCAAAAAGAGGCGGTGGTCCAGATGTAGTTCCTGGGCTATAGTTTGCCAACCCCTGTTTCAGATTATTACTGACACTTTTGTTTTAAACACGCTTGCCTGTTATTTTGTAAAATGACTCTTATTAGGCTCACTTAGTAAACCTCAGAGTATCTTGCCATGTCTTTTCATGCACATCACAACCACTTAAGTGTTGACAGCAAAGTGAAGAAACAAAGCTAGGCCTCAATGAGTCACAAAATCCATTCTGCAGAGTCACTGAGAAGCACCACAGATGCCACTGTTCTTAGAAAGCATTGACTGGCACTGAAAGGGAAAAAACAGGAGCCTGGACAAAAAACTCACTGTTGGAATTGGCGTAGACAGTCCTAAGGGAAAAGCCGCTGAGTGTCAGTTCCCTCAGCTGGTTTCGCTCACAGTGCAGCTGCTCTAAGTTGCATAAGGAGCTGAGATCTAAGTCAGTCAGCTGGTTGTCCCGCAGATCCATGTGAGTGATGTATCTATTTCCCTCCAGATTTTCAAGAACCATGGTTTTCAAACAGTTCATCCTTAATATTCCAAAACAAGGAAATATCACAAATAGATTCAATTAATTTGTTTACCAAAAGAAAACTAGGAGAGCTAATCCCTTTTTCTATTTCCTTAACAACTTAAGAATTTCACTACTTGCCTCATTTTGCAAGGTACTATATAAATAACCACATATAGTTTATAAACAAATAACTCAAGGTACTAAGAAGTTAGAGAATCCAGACTGGCAAATATATATACAAATTAAATAAAGAGAAGAAACAAAGGGCTTATATGCTCAAACAGCCAAATACTTTTATCCAAATACCTAAAGTTAGGTAGGAACTAAGAAATAGGCCAAAGGAACAAGATGAACATAAGCTTTAGGATTAGTAAACAGCAAAGTAATCATGAAAATACCACGTCAAGAGAAAGAGGACACAGTCACGCTTCCTTCTGTGACTGTAACATAATTAACATAACATTAATTAATGGAGAAGAAAATAATCTGTATGTATTTTGAAAAGTTCAAAGGCTTCTGGGTTCATTTCTATGCAAGTATATGATTTAATGCACATAGACCTGTTTTCATTTTCCTGTATTTCAATAAACCTGCCACTTACTAAGTCTTTACAAGGTACATTAATAACTACTGTAAATGACAGACCATCTAGTAGGTGTCCTTTAATAATTTCCTTTAGGAAAAGTTTCTGACTAGAAAATAAAACTCTCATAAAAATTCTTAGTGGTAAAACCTTTAATATTTTGATTATAATACAACAGATAGCAAGAAGAAACCCAATGACTCAAAAGAAAAATGGTTAACTTTATAGAAAACTATAAATTACTAATATGCATATAAAAAGATACTCAACCTCACTCCTAAGTAAATAAATATGGATTAAAGCAATGAAATACGGCCAGGCACAGTAGCTCACACCTGTAATCCCAAAACTTTGAGAGGCTGAGACGAGGATTGCTTGAGCCCAGGAGTTCAAGACCAGCCTGCCTGGACAACATAGCAAGACTTAATTTCCACAACAAATTAAAAAAAAAAAAACTTAAAAATTAGCAGGGCCTGGTGGTATGTGCCTGTAGACCCAGCTACTTGGGAAGCTGAGACAGAAGAACCACATGAGCCCAGGAGGACAAGGCTGCAGTAAGCCCCGTGATCGTACCACTGCACTCTGGTATAGAGATCAGAGTGAGACTCCAACTCATAAAAGAAAATACTTTATGGACAATAAGAAAAAAGACTGCTAAAATCCAACACCAACAAGTATGTAAAGAAACAGGAATTCTCATAAAATGTTGCTGGGAGGGTAAGTCAGAACCACCACTGTCAAAGTTAGGTCTCTATCATGTACCTAATGTGATCCTTAATTTTTGTTACTGAGTGATAAATGAAGTTTTATTACAACCCTGAAAATATCTATTTCTATACTGTTTTAAAATCCTAATGTTTTAAGTAAGTCTCAAAACGAATTTTTTTTTATAGAGACATGGTCTTGCTATGTTGCCCAGGCTGGTCTCAAATTCTTGGCCACAAGCAATCCTCTTGCCTCTACCTCCCAAAGTGCTGATATTTCTGTGCCCAGCCTAAGGGATATCTTTATAAAGACAAAAAGGTCCGTAAGAGTCTACTGAAAGGAAGATATGGTAAAGAATGACCTTACCTTAAATCCACATACTTGATGTGGCTCATCCTGCTCAGCACCCCTAGGTTTAGGGCTTCCAGGCAATTTCCTGCCATAACCACCTTATCTAACATAGTGAGTTTTTCATAAACCTCAGGAATTTGACTAAAGTTGTTAAAGGAAATTCCCAGGGAGGAAAGCTGTTGTAGATTTCCCAATTCTTCAGGTAAAGTAGTCAGAAAGTTGCCATCAAGGCAGAGAGTTTGAAGACTGTAGGAAGAAAACAAAACAAGTCCACTTTATGAAAGATTTCTTTGGAATGGACTGACTTATTCATTCCAAAAATGGCAACGCATCCTAACTCTATCTGTAGATGCTTAACAGATGACTTCTGCCATGCTTTTTTTTTAACTTATATGAATAGTCCCTCCAACATTAAGAAAAACCAGGACTTCTGCTGTTGAAGCTGAGGGATTACTCACTGCAACAGGAACATAGATCTCTGGTGACAAAAACTGTTACTGACTAGAATTTTAATAATTATATGATATAATTCACTCCAAGAGCTCATGATACAACCTCCATTCCAAATGCCAAACAAGTTCCTTATTCTGTAAGGGAAAAGAGGAATCTAGTAAAAGTAAGATACTTACTTTAGCAGATTGCCTATTTGACTGGGTAGATTATTAAATCCATTACAGGAAAGGTTGAGCTCAGTCAAGGTAGAGATCTCACACAGCAATACAGGAAACAGTCCAAGTTTATTATGGGACAAGTTCAAGCCTTTCAGTTGAGAAAATCTAAAAAGCAAAGGTAAAACTGTATACTGTATTTCAATAAATCTGTTACTATATCTTTACAATGGCATCAATGGTCTTCAATGACCGATTTATTTATTTTCTTTTCTTTTTTTTTTTGAGTTGGAGTCTCACTCTGTTTCCCAAGTTGGAGTGCAGTGGCACACTCACGGCCACTATAGACTTGACCTGTTGGTCTCAGGCGATCCTTCTGCCTCAGCTTTCCAAGTGACTGGAACTATAGACGCATGCCACCACACCCAGCTGATTTTTTGATTTATTGTAGAGACAAGGTCTCACCATGTTGCCCAGGCTGGTCTCCTCTTGCCTCTGCCTCCCAAAGTGCTGGGATTATAGCCATCGCTCACAGCTGATGATCTATTTTAAAGACTCTATTTTAAATGGCCAACTTTCCTCCCTGAGAATTTATTCCAAAAATATTTACTGAGCACTCACTACATGCCAAACATTGAGTAGGCACAGAGGATACCAAGATGACTAATGCACACAGTCCATGCTATCAAGGAAATCAAGTCTAATGTTAGAAGAGTTCTCTTTTCTCCTTAAAAAGGAAGAAAATCTTGAAGAACAGGTCATGCTGGTACAACATTTTTGTATTTACTTATACTTGATATGCTTAAAATCTTTTCCATTATTAAATTTCTGAGGCCAGGCATGGCGGCTCATGCTAATAATCCCAGCACTTTGAGAGGCTGAGGTGGGAGAATTGCCTGAGCCCACAGCTTCAAGACCAGCCCGGGCAACTTGGCAAGACCTCATCTCTATAATAAACCAAGAAATTAGCTGGGCATGGTGGTGCACGCCTGTAGTCCCAGCTACTTGGAAGGCTGAGGTGGAAGGATTGCCTGAGCCCAGCAGGTCGAGGCGGCAGTGGCTGTGAGTGTGCCACTGCACTTCAGCCTGGGTGGGCAAATAAAAATAAAAAATAAAAAAATAAATCTCTGCATATAATATGCAAAAGCCTTGCAAGAATTAGTCAAAGACACAGGAGTAGCTAACAAGTATGTAGATCAAATCCCAATATAAGCAACTTTTTTTCATACTAAAATTATGTTGGTTCATATGTCATTTAAAATGAATGGACCAGTTAGAGCTTGAGAATACGAATGTTGGGCCAGGTGCGGTGGCTCATACCTATAATCCCAGCACTTTGGGAGGCAGAGACGAGAGGATTGCCTGAGCTCAGGGATTCAAGCCCAGCCTGGGCAACTTGGTAAGACCTCGTCTCCACAACAAAAATTTAAAAAGCTAGGCATGTTAGCATATGCCTATAGTTCCAGCTACTTGGAAGGTTAAGGTGAAAGGATCTCCTGAGCCCAGCAGGTTGAGGCTGCTGTGGCAGTAAGCATTGAGCCACTGCACTACAGCCTGGGCGACAGAGTGAGACTCCAACTCAAAAAAAAAAGAAGAATGTAACACAGCATCGTACCATAATTTGTTCTAATATACAACAGGAAATAGTAATTTTCAGTGCTACTATTTTGTAAAAGTAGAAGTAAAAGTATCGACCAGATGTGGTCGCTCATGCCTATGATGCCAGTACTTTGGGAAGCCAAGGTGAGAGGAATCCTGAGCCCATGGGTTCAACACCAGCCTGGGCAACTTGGTGAGACCTCATCTCTACAATAAATCAAAAAATAGCCAGGTGTGGT